CATCTCTATTCCATAGCTTGAGGGCTTCATGATATGGTTCCTGCCTATCTTTCCAGTCTCATCTCACTGGGCCATTCTCCCTTTCTGATTCTGTTTCAACCACACTGCTCCCTAAATCCTATTGTTGCTCAGTCTTAGATAACAGTTAACTGTCTTTGACAGTTAGCAGTGAAAAAAACAAAAACCGCCCTTGGTATACTAAATTATTGAAGATATTTAAAGCTAAGTCAGCATAGCTCCATTTCTAAGAGGCCATTCATTGATCTCATTTCACAAATTGTTTATTTTTATTAATTACTATGTATAAACGAAATATATAGTGGATCATATTTGTTCCCACTAGTATTTAAGATGTTCTGTAGAACAAAACATACAAGTAAGCAAACTTGGCCCTAGTAGTTAATAAAATTTTTATTTAAGTGTCCTAATATTTATAGTAAGATTGATTTACTTTTTCAAATGTATAGTTTATTTTGATTTTATTTTCCTAATCAACATACTAGTTCTGTGAATTTGAGTGTATTGCTATAATTTACCAAGATTATACAAATTATGTAATTTACCAGAAAAAATATTGGATATCACTGTCTTATCTCTTTCTCCAGTTTTCTCTCTCCTCAGGAATCTGTATTATAAATCTATTAGAGATTAGAATTGATAGCTGCTGAATGGATTTGTTGATTGAATCAGTTACTTGTTATTTTTTATTATTCAGAGATTCCACAAGTGAACTAAGCAATGTTCTTTGGGACCTTCTTTTATGGAGAAAGCGTAGAGGAAGAAGTAGGAAAATAAAATATTGAGTCTTTCCTAGATTGCTAGGACATCATTTCCTTAAAATACACTTAGTTTTTCTCCTTATGTCAATTTCCTCTGCTTACTTGAGTTGCTCCTAAAGCTACCGAATTTCATTCAGCATATATCTGTAAAAGTCGAGAAGATAATAGCCACAAAGGGTTGTTGTGGAAACAAGCTGTTATGTGTAACATACCTACTGTCACAGGATAAACTCTTAATAAGTGATAGCTACTATATTGAGAGACTTTAATATATGGTGGTTTAAAGGTACAGACTTGAGGGTCATTCAGAGTTTGAATTCCTACTTACCAGCTCTGTGAACTTATTATATAAGTTCACAGGGCTTGGTACTTCAATTTCCTTATTCATAAAGTGGGATATAAATACATATCTCATAAGAATTGTATGTTAAGGTATTTAATATAGCATCAAGCCTATAGCAAGTACTCAATAAGTGATTTGTTTTACTCTGCTTTTATCACAGGAATAGTCATTTGTTGAACCACTCATTATGTTGTAGGTTTTGTACAAGACCCTAGATGATAGTGTTTATGATTCTGAAACCAGATTCATACCCTACATCTAATAGATTACTTTGTTTTAGTTAGGCAGTATGTCTAATAGGCTGGGTCATGTAGACTAATCCTAACAGAAGTATTAATCAGTCTTCACTGAGCCTAAATCTAGTCAGTACGCAAGCAAAATTTCTACTTGTGGCCCTATGAGAATGAATCAGGTGGCCCCCCACCCCCAAGAGAGTAGGAAGTGTGAGAGAGTCAATCCTTGGTAATCGTAAATGTTTTTGCTATATGGTATATGAGCTGATTCTGAAAAGGCAAATGGAAATCAGTTCAGTGGGTTAGGAAGGAGGAGAGGAAAAAGAAACTATTGTGAAAGCAAAGAAATTACCTTTAGAGTAAGGGAGTGAATATTAAGGAAGAAGTTATATTCTATTAAGCATCAGTAAGCTGGAAAGAGCTAGAGCTGAGAATAAACCCTGAGGTAGCTCCATAATTGAATATTGCCCTGGTAATATTTTATTTATAATTATAAAATACAGATGAACTACATACTATGGACTTTACAGTTATTATTTTGTGGAATGTGTGTTAACGGATAGATTCTGTGCTATAGGAAGATTGCACTGTTACATGCGCCTGTGGATCCCTAAATGCTTAGCATTATCTTTTCTTCCCCCATCACCTATTTAACCCAAACCCATCCCCTCACCCATCTCCCTTCTGGTAACCATTAATTTTTTCTCTATAGTTAAGAGTCTCTCTCTCTCTCTCTTTCCCTTTGTTCATTTGTTTTGCTTCAAAATTCCACATGTGAGTGAAATCAAATGATATTTATCTTTCTCTGACTAACTTACTTCACTTAGGATAATACTCTCAAGCTCTATCCATGTTGTTGAAAATGGCAAGATTTCACTCTTTTTTATGGCTGAGTAATATTCCAGTGTGTATCTGTGCCACATCTTCTTTATCCATTCATCAGTCAGTGGACATTTGAGCTCTTTCCATAATTTGGCTATTGTAGATAATGCTGCTCTGAACATAAAGGTGTATGTATCCCTTTGAATTAGTATTTTTGTATTCTTTGGGTAAATACCTTGCAGTGTAACTGATGGATCATAGGGTAGTTCTATTTTTAACTTTTTGAGGAATCTCCATACTGTTTTCCAGAGTGGCTGCACCAATTTGCATTCCCACCAACAGTATAAGAGAGTTCCCCTTTCTCCACATCCTCGCCAACACCTGTTGTTTCTTGTGTTGTTTTTAGCCATTCTGGAGGTATAAGGGGATATCTCATTGTAGTTTTGATTTGCATTTCCTTCATAAGTGATGTTGAGCATCTTTTCATGTGTCCGTTGGCCATCTATATGTCTTCTTTGGAAAAATGTCTATTCATGTCTTCTGCCCATTTTTAATTGGACTATTCATTTTTGGGGTGTTGAGTTTTGTAAGTTCTTTATAGATTTGGGTACTAACCCTTTATCAGATATGTCATTTGCAGATATCTTCTCCCATTCCATAGCTTGCCTTTTAGTTTTGTTGATTCTTTCCTTTGCTGTGCAGAAGCTTTTAATCTTGTTGAAGTCCCATTAGTTCATTTTTGCTTTTGTTTCCCTTGCCTCCTGAGACGTGTCTAGTAAGAAATTGCTGCCAAGGCCAAAGAGGTTGCTGCCTGTGTTCTCCTCTAGGATTTTGATGGATTCCTGTCTCACATTTAGATCTTCCATCCATTTTGAATTTATTTTTGTGTAGGATGTAAGCAAGTGGTCCAGTTTCATTCTTCTGCATGTGGCTGTCCAATTTTCCCAACATCATTTGTTGAAGAGACTGTCTTTTTTCCATTGGATATTCTTTCCTTCTTTGTCGAAAGTTAGTTGACCATATAGTTGTGGGTCCATTTCTGGGTTCTCGATTCTATTCCATAGATCTATGTGTCTGTTTTTGTACCAGTACCATACACTCTTGATCACTACAGATTTGTAATATAACTTGAAGTCTGGAATTGTGATGCCTCCAGCTTTGCTTTGCTTTTTCAAGATTGCTTTGGGTATTCAAGGTCTTTTGTGTTTCCATACAGATTTTAAGATTGTTTGTTCTAGCTCTTTTAAAAAAATGCTGGGGGCGCCTGGGTGGCTCAGTTGGTTAAGCGTCTGCCTTCGGCTCAGGTCATGGTCCCAGGGTCCTGGGATCAAGCCCCACATCGGGCTCCCTGCTCCG